AATAACAGGAAAAAAATTTTAAAGAAACCTGAGGAACTTCATAAACCTAAAAAATAACAGGAAAAAAATTTTAAAGAAACCTGAAAGGAACTTCATTAAGAGGGCTAGCTGTGATTGACAGGAGAAGCTCAGGAGGGGCGTGAGCAATCTCCTGAACAAAGGAAGTCATCTGAGTTTTATGTCCTTTCAGGGTGTTGTTACAGCATGTGATTGAGTCCGGGATATCCTACATGACAAGGACCAGGGAAGAGCCACAGACTACTGAGTAGGGCCATAAATGAGAGGCTATAAAACCACGGCAGAAACAGCTTCTTAACTCTCTGTCGTAAAGACAGCTACAGAGGGCATGACCTGATTTCTTTGGGCTGGAAAATCTGGCCAGCTTAGAGTGGCCAGGGTCCTAAAGGGTCCTAAAAGCTTTTTCTTGATCCTTTACCATGACCATTTTGTCTGAGGTTCATGGGAATTGGGGTTATGCGCCTTTTTGTCATAGAGATACCTTCTAGTGGCGCTTGTACTTTTGAAGACACGGTTTCCTGCCTTTCAGAAGTTTGGATGTGCATGGAAAAGATGGTTAGGGTTAGACTACTGCTTTTATAAAAATCAGGTAGACAGGGAGCTGGAGAGATGGCTCAGCAATTTAGAGCACTGGACCACTGCTCTTGCAAAAGACCTGGGTTTGGTTCCCAGCACCCACATAGTGGCTAACAACCATCTGTAATTCCAGTTCCAGGGGAATCCAACTCCCTTTTCTGATCTCCTGACACAGGTGCATTTACATACATGAGGCAGTACATATACACACAAAATAAAAATAACAAATAAGATTTTTTTTTTAAAGCAGATAGAGATTGGGGATACAGCTCGGTGTTAGATCACTGCCTAGCATGAATGAGACCCCAGGTTCCAGCAATACAAAAAAGAAAAACTAAAATAAAGAGGAGGCCGAAACTTACTGCAGGCATTTTGTATCATTCTAGACAGTTCATTTTGTTCATTAAGTGGGGCTCCTTGACTGCTTGAAAGTTATTTTCTCTTTAGTATTAGAATTCAAATCTTTCCTTACATCAACAAATTTCCTTCCCTGTGGTACTTATCAATAAGAAGGAATGGGTATCCAGAAAATAAAATATCTGTCATACCCGGGCATGGTAGCACACACTTAGGACTCCAGCACTTGAGGTGGAGGCAGGAAGACAAGGTTCAAGGCCAGCCTGGACCACATGAAGATTCCATCTTTAAAAAAACAAAAAACAAGCCAGGCCTGGTGGCGCCCTCCATATCCTTTATACTTTGAAGTGTCCATTCAAATGTCACCAAATTAAAGAGGGCCCGTCACTCTGTACAGATTACTGTGCCCCCACATTCATTTCTCTCCCCTCAAGATCTTTCCCATTCTTTGTCTTTTTCATCTGTTTTGAGACAGGGTCTCCCGCAGCCCCAGCTGGCCTGGAACTTGCTATGAAAACCAGACTGGCCTTGATCTCATAGAGATCTGCCCGCTCCTACCTCCCATGTGCTGGGATTAAAGGCACACACCACCATTTCCAGCTTCTTCCCCACTCTTTTTTTTAAAAAAATATTTTATTTATTGTCTGGCGTGGTCGCACACACCTTTAATCCCAGGCAGAGGCAGGCGGATCTCTGTGAGTTCAAGGCCAGCCTGGTCTACATAGTGAGTTCCAGGCTAGCTGGGGCTATAGAGAGCCTCCCGTCCCAAAAAAAAAAAAAAAAAAAAATATATATATATATGTATATATATAATTTATTATTTTAATTTTATGTGTATGAGTGTATTGCCTGCATGTGTAAGTGCACTCGTATCGTGCAGTACCCTCAGAGGTCAGAAGAAGATGTTGGATCCCCTGGAACTGGAGTTACAGATGGTTGTTAGTGCCATGTAGGTGCTGGGAATTGAACCCAAGTCCTCTGCAAGAACAGTTGGTGCCCTTAACCAGTGAGCATCTCTTCAGCCCTATTCCTTCCCCACTCTTTTTATCCTTCATAATATTTTCCCATAAAACTTGAAGTCACTTTGCAAGTTTCTCATATTGATCTTTGCCTTTCTTCCTCCCACCCCACTAGAAGTCTCTTCTGCCCACTGGCATTGGAGCATCTATCTCATCTTTAATGGGTCTGCCCAGGGAGTGCTAAGCAGGTACCCTAAACTAGTCATCAGACATTGCATTATTTAAGACTCTATGACGACAAATACATTTTGTTTTCTTGACAGTATTTTAAGTTAGGGAAATCCCACTTTTTCTTTGTAGACAGTTAAGAGAATTGACAGTGAATAGTGTACACTGTTGGCCCTTTGGGTTCTGTTTCATGAATTCAACCAGCTTCAGGCTGGAAGTATTAGGAGGCGGGGGAAATGTGTGTGTACTGAACATGAACAAACTTTGTGTCATTTTTCTCTAAGCAGTCCAGTAGAACAACTATTTACATGGCGTACATATTGTATTAGGTCTAGTTGTTAGCTAGAAGTGATTTGAAACATGCAGGATGATACGTAGAGGCTGGGTGCAAGGGACTTGACCACATAAATTTTGTTATCCGAGGGGACTTCTGGAATCAAACCTACTCCCTAACCCCTGGAAACTGAAGGGTGACTGATTTTCCTCTGAAGCTAAAGTTAGGAGGTGGACTAGATTAGTGGACTTAAGAGTAGTGATAGATTAGAACAGTCTGAGAAATGTAGATAAAATGACACGGAGTGGAGAGCAAGAATGAAAAAGAAAGTACACAGTTACTCCAGGACATCCAGTGACGATTCTGTTGGGGGTTAGGGAGTACTGAGGACTGAGTCAGGGCCTGTGCGTGCCAGGTAAGTGCCCTGGGGCTTGAGCTTGAACAGCCAAATAACAGTTCTTGAGAAAACAGGAAATGCAGAGGAGGGAATTATATCAATAAAAACCCTTTTCACACACTGACGTTTCCAGTTGAAGGGAGTGCCGAGTACAGTAATGCCAACATAAAGGCATGACTGACCGTGAGCTCCCAAGAAAAAAAGCAGGTCACCTAGAAAACGAAAGCAAGAATCAGATTGCTTCAGACTTCGCAATGACAGCAGCAGAAGCAAGTCAGCTGAGAAATGACTCAGGGTGAGTCACCAGCCGTGAGGGTAGGACAAAAATAATAATAAAAAGATTTTCAGATAGGCAAGGACTATAAAGAAACCAAGAAACAGGCCAAAGGCCTACTCTCTTCATAGCAGACCTTTAGCACTAGTTGACTGCATTTGGGAAGCAAATATAGATAGATCAGAAGTTTAAGGTCAGCCTGGGCTATGTGACTGTCTCAAAAGGGGAAGTGTGAGGTTAGAGCTATGGTTCCACTGGCAAAGCACTCGCCTAACATACATAAAGCCCTGGGTTTGATGGCAAGCACTGTGTAAACTAAATATGCTCCTGTCATCCCAGCACCAGAGGTGAAGGCAGATTGACCAAGAGTTCAGGGTCATCCTTGGCTACATATAGAGTTCAATCAAAGCCAGCCTGGGCTCCATGAGGCCCTGTCTCAAAAAAGAAAGAACTTGTCATTCAGGCTGATGAGATGGCCCAGAGGGTAAAACTGCTTGCTGCATAAGCCCAATAAAGTTCTCAACTCCCAGAACCCACAGGAGAAAACTTTCTCCTAAAAGTTATCCTTTTACTTCCATAGACATACCATGGCATGTGTGTGCACCCACATTGATACACAATGAGAAAGAGAGAGAGAGAGAGAGAGAGAGAGAGAGAGAGAGAACGCTGAGCAGTTAAGAACACTTACTGCTCTTCCAGAGGACCTAGATTTGGTTCCCAGCACCCACATCAGTTGGCTAACACCACTTGTAACTACAGTTCTGGAGGATCTGATGCCCTCTGGCTATCTGCATGTGGTACAGATAAACACAGACAGGCGCACACACATACACATAAATAAATCTTTGAAAAACAGAAGGGGGTCGAAGTGTATAGCTCAGTGGTAGCATACTTGCCTGGGTTCAAGGCCCAGCACAACTGAGGCCCTGGGTTCAAGGCCCAGCACAACTGAGATAAAAACAAAAAGACCTCTAAGAGCCAGGCATAGGAGTACATACCTTCAGTCCTGGCACTAAGGAGGCAGAAGCAGGTAATCTCCGAGTTCGAAGCCAGCCAGGGCCACATAGTAAGACCTGTCTCAACCAAAAAAACCTAAGAGTCTAAAATTATTAAAGGGATGACTTGCTCCAACTTTTTTAAAAGAATGGAAGGCTGACAGGTAGAAACTGCCAACACAGACAGCTCTATGAAAGTTTAGCAGTAGGGCCTGGAGACGTGCCTAGTGGTTACGAGTGCTGGCTGCTCTTGCAGAACACCCAGGTTCAGTTCCCAGCACTCACATGGTGGCTACAACCATCCATAACTCCAGTTCCAGGGGATCTGACGCCCTCTTCTGGGCATTGCATGCACGTAGTACACTTACATACATGCAAGCTAAACAGTCATGCACATAAAATAAAAAATAAATTTAAAAAATGTTTAAGTTTAGTTGTAAGTCAAGTGTGATAGTACATGCCTTGAATCCCAGTATTCACTGAGGAGGCTGAGGCAGAGGGATCAGGGAGTTCACTGTAACCTGGGATATGTACTGCAAGACCTTGTCTCAAGAAAAACAGCCAAACGGTAAAGCACTGATAATTGGCCAGTGAGGGGTGGGTATGGAAAGTGGTAGATCATCCTTCTGCTTTTCTTTGGAAAGGGGTTGGAGGTTGGAAGTGAGCGAGCCTAACTGAGGATGGACACTAGGACCTTGTTTAGTGCAAGCTGAATCTAAAGGAAGGCTTTGCATTTCCTGCCTGGACATTTCCTAGGGCCTCTGCATCTTTCTGAGACAGTTGCCCCCAGATGGTCACATGAAGGAAGAAACTTTGATGAGACATCATTTTTTTAACCATTTAAGTACTTTTACTAGTGGCCCATGGACAATTGTTAATTTTTTTTTTTAATTTAGCTTAAACAAATCTTACTATCTTACAGCCTGAGCTTCCTACCTTAGGACTCTAAAGACTGACTACGTTGAAATGGACAACCAGGAATCAACAGAGTCTTCTCAGAATGCCAAACAGCACATAATTTCAGAGGAGGTATATACTTTGCTTTTCTCTATCCTTTCCCTTCACCATGTAACAATGAGTTCAAAAGAAACATGTAGGCTATTTGTTACATTTTTTTTTCAATCTTAAAGATAATTTTTAAATGTTTTTTCTACCCTCATTTTAAGGTTTCAATCACATTTTTTCTTTCTTTTTTTTTTTTTTTTTTTTTTTTTTTTTTTTGTCTTTTTTGAGACAGGGTCTCCTTGTAGCCCCAGCTGTCCTGGAATTCACTATGTAGACCAGGCTGGCCTCGAACTCACAAAGATCCGCCTGCCTCTGCCTCCCAAGTGCTGGGATTAAAGGTGTGCACCACCACACCTGGCTTCAATCACATTTTCAATCACTCATCTGGAAGTAGTCATAGCCATCTTAATGCCATGTATTAGTAAAGTTGAAACTAAGTACATTTTCGTTACTGATAGAAAAATTCTTCTTTCTAAAAATTTGTCTGGACAGAGAAACAATATGTGGTTTTACAGCTTTGACATTTCAAATTTCGTTATTATAGCTCAGCTGTTTGATTTTCAAACATAAATGTAGTTCACATTCCTCTGAGTTTTAGTACTAAGATCTACACCTTATGTTATTCAGCTCAAGTTCTAGAGTCTTTTTCTCTCAGGAACCCTTCATTGTAATGGGTAAATTTAAGTGTTTTGTCTTTGAACTCTGGCCTTGGCACCTTTCTAGAGGAATTCTTTTTGATTTAACAATCTTTCCATGTTGCCTGTGGACAGATCTGCTAATGATGATTAGGTTGGTGTTGGCAAGAAGAGAAAGAGACTAGTAAGAAAAAGGCTATTGCCTTACATTCCCAGTGAAAAGCTCCTCTCAGTCAGTGTAGTGTCACAGGTCAGTCAGTCCTCCCAGCCAAGACTCCTCTGCATGTCTTGGATCGGGTGGAAACCTGGGTGTCAGCAAAAGGAAATCCAGTCTTCGATTTGGTTTCCCCGCAATCTGTTTTCCTGATGAAGTTGTATATATGCCGTTCAACAGTATGGCTAGCTTAGCATCCATGCCAGGGGCCAGGACTTGAAGAGTATCCAAGATCTCACGCCCCTTGTACTCCCTTCCATTTACCTTTCTTCCCACAACCCAGGAGTTGTTTTTCTTTATTGGTGCTGAGAATTGAACCCAAGTCCATGTATGCCACGTATGCACTGTGCCTCAGCTACACCTGCATCCACGCTGCTTTTAGACCCTTTTTTACCTCTTGGTTCTACCACAAAAACTCCAAACAAAACTACTAGCCTTTAGTAAGACAGTTTTGAATACTTACTCTAAACTGGAAACTTGCCCAGAAATTGTCGTGAGAGAAGCTAACTGGAAGAGGGGAGGGAGCATAGAACAAGTTTGAAAGAAAAAGTACCTTTTAGATTTAAAAAAAGACCACCTTGGTTTGAAAGTTTGCCAACTTAACTCTCTGATCTCCTTTTAGTTAATTTCAGAAGGAAAATGGGTCAAGTTTGAAAAAACAACTTACATGGATCCTACTGGTAAAACTAGGTAAATTTTTTTTCTCTGTCTTGTAAAATTATCAATATCTGGGTTTTCCAGATCTCTGTTGAGTGTTTTCTGAAAACACTGATATTTTCTTCATTGTAAGCTTTCTTTTAAATAAAGAACCTAATACAGCTTTTATTCCATTACTAAAATGTTTGGGTCATTGACAATCTTGAATA